CTGCGGTGCAGAAACGGAAAAAAAGGGGTAAATCAAAAAGATCTCATAGATTATATTTCTATATCATCTGAAGCTTTCCAAAGCAAAAAGAAAGCAGAGTATGCAGTTTGGAATTGTGACTGCTTGTCTAGGGCTGGGAATAGCTTCATGTGCGCACCTCTACCTCAGCACTCCGCGACACTTGTCTGCACACCACGTCTCAGGGACGGCAGCAAAGGCCAGCATATTACAGATATAGTTCAATCTATCAAATAAAATATCTACAGAGTCTTCTCGCGACGCATACAACACAATGCGTGATAGTATAGGAGGCTCATCATCGTATATTTCTCTGCACGTCTACAGCATCTCTCTACACATCTACAGCATCACCAAAAACCTCAACACCACGACACCACTGCACCACTTCACAACCATACAACCATTGCCCATCATGCTTTGACTTCTTCTCGCCGCAGAGCCATGCCACACCAATCTCCCACCTCACCGCCCCCCCTCTCGCTTCTCTGCCAGGCAGAAGCTCCTAGAAGCCGAGATCTTCATGAATCACGACTGCATGGCCCACAAGCACAACCAATGATAAATCGGGCATCCCATTTTCCAATTCACTTCTTCCTCACTTTGGTGTTTTCCTCGCTCCCAGATCAGTGAGGGGCACACGGACCACTTCCCACCCCTATATATCTCCCTCCCCCTCCTCCTCTTCCTCTTTTCTTTCTTTCCCTCTTTCCTTCTCCCATAGGTAAGTGCCCTGTACCCCTTGGTTTTGGCTGACGGTGTACAGGATGGGGGCTTTTCTCGTTTTTTGCCTCCTTAGGGAATGATGATCAAAGGGTTCTGATAAGACCACTGCCTTGTGCAGAGGTCGATGACAATAACACTTGAGTCTGACCCAAAAAAAACATCACAACTTTTTTTTTCTTTGTCTTGTCTCACTTGGTACAGAGACAAGCAAAGAACAGGTAAGCCCTCCAGAGTGACACTGACCCAGTCACTCTGGCATTTCCTTTTGTCTTTGCCTCGTAGATCTCCTCCACTGCCACCACCTCCACCACCTGACTTCACTTCCACTTCCACTTCCACTTCCACTTGACCTCCACATGATGATGAACGAGATCCATCCCGCTGCTAGTGCAGCGATGTCATGATCTCACTGCTCTATCTGATGGACTCCCCCTCTCCCCTCTCCCTCCCCTCCCTCTTCGACTTTGACTTCGACATTCACCTCGACTTCGACATCCACATCGACTTCCACTTCCACTTCGACATACACTTCCACATCTTGTGACCATGTTTGCTCCAACGCAGACGCCCTTGAGTGATGACAAAAGGGTTCTGTGGAGTGCCTCTGGCAATGACAAAAAAAATTCTGTCTGACACTGCGCGATCGGCTCAAACTTGTTTGACGTCGCTTCGCTCAGCTTTGCGCGTCTGCGTTGGCAAACATAATCACCACCTTGGTACTGCTGACTTGACTTCTCTTCTAGGTTCTCCCTTCTCTTCACTTTTAGGTACGTCCATCTCCTCCCCTCCCTCTCCCCTCCTCTTCGAACTTCTACGCTTTTTCACTTTGTCTTCCAGCTCTAGGTCCGCTCGTCCCTCAAGGCCATCGTGGTCCAACACACGCACGCGCCTCGCATGATGACATCAGGGTTCTTCGGAGTGCCGCTGGCTAAGACGAAACAAAATTGTGTCTGACGCAGATTGACTTGCTCTCTCTGTCGGCGCTTGCATGTGTTGGCCTCGCTGTCCTCAGGTAAGTGATATCTCAGTTACGTCTTGTGTCTACTTCCATGTTTGATGTGTGTCTTCGCCGCATACACAAGCACCCCGAGTGATGATATCAGGGTTCTGATGAGTGCCGCTGGCAATGATCAAAAATTCTTGTGTCTGACGCAGATTGACTTGGTCTCTCTGTTGGTGCTTGTGTATGCTGGTCTCCCTCCCTGACTCCAGGTAAGTGTCATCTCAGTTACGTGTTCCCTTTTGTCCTCTGTCTCCTCTTCTCCAACTTTCATCTTGTTACATGCGCAAGCACCCTGGGTGATGATATTAGGGTTCTGATGAGTGCCGCTGGCAATGATCACAAATTTCATGTCTGACACAGATTGACTTGGTCTCTCTGTGGGTGCTTGCGCATGTTCCCCTTCCTGCTCCAGGTAAGTCACATTTCTCTCACGTCCTCTTTTCTTGTTTTCCGTTTTCCACCGTTTGCACTGACAGCACATGCATGCACTATGGATGATGATCAAAGGGTTCTCATGATGCCATTGGCAATGAATTGAAATCTTGAGTCTGACGCAGAGTGACTCGATTCACTCTGTTAGTGCCTGCATGTGTTGACCTTGTTGATTTTGATGATCTAGGTAGACATCGGTTTCTCCTGGCTCCTGGAGCCTCCTCCATCGTTTGCACTGAAAGGTGAGTGCCTCCTCTTCCCTGTCTGCTTTTTGAGTCATGTCTTCCCCCGACCATGATGCTTTCTTGCAACACATCGCACCTTGGGTGATGACAAAAGGGTTCTTTCGATGTGCCACTGGCGATGAGATCAAATTCTGAGTCTGACGGAAGGATCTGAGTCAAGCTTTACTTGCTCAGATTCCTTTTCTGGCGATTGTGTGTGTTGGCAAAAGAAAGCGCAAACTTTTCTGCTTTGGATAATCTACTCTCTTCTAGGTTTCCCTTCTAGGTGTCTCTTCTATGTCTCTCTTCCAGGTTTCTCTTCCAGGTAACGTCTTCCATCTTCCCGCTTCCGCCTCCCCCTTCTCCTAAGACCATTCTTGGCCCAACATATACAAGCACCCGGATGATGACGAAAGGGTTCTATTTGACTGCTGCTTGTCAGCGATGAGAACACACACTTGAGTCTGACGGATTCGTGCTTGCGTGTGCTGGCAGCAAGAAACAACAAGGTACGTCCCACTCTCCCCTATTTTCGGTAGTTTCTCCCTCTTTGTATGTGTCTTTGGATACCACTTGATCTAGGCTCCCCATCCGTTTCTCTCCGTCCCCTGTCAGAGCGCACAAGTCTATTGAGTGATGATGAAAGGGTTCTTTTTAGTGCTGCTGGTCAGCGATGAAATCAAATTCCAAGTCTGACAACTTTGTGCTTGTGCGCGCTGGCAGAGGGAAAGTTACCAGGTAAGTGGCAATTTCTTTCAGTCTTGTTCAACTTTCTCTCCATTGTACTTTTCCCCCGCCGTGTGTTCCAGACACATAAGCACGGTGAGTGATGACAAAAGGGTTCTGGTTAGAGCTGCTTGTCAGCGATGAAATTAAGATCTGAGTCTGACAATCTTGTGCTTTGTGTGTCTGGCAGAATCAATTGCAGGTGCGTCTTGTCTCGTGTTTCTCTATCTCTCCCTGATCTATCTTTTCCTTATTTTCATTTTCTGCTTTCTATGGACTTGGGTTCTACTCTTTGATCTAGTGCCTCTCTGCAATGCACACAGCACTCAGGATGATGACAAAAGGGTTCTTTTCCTGCTCCAACGAGCGATGATATAAACTTCAAAGTCTGACGAGTTGTATATCTATACACGATTTGTGTTGTGTGTATTGTTCACATTATGTCTGCTACTCCTCTCTAGGTTGCCTTCGGTTTTGTCGCAGTGATGAAAAGGGTTCTCACGAGTCAATCTGGATGCTTCGGAGAAGCCAAAGACACAATGACGAGAAGACCACTTCTGAGCGACTTCTATGCCTCTCTTACGCGTGACTCCTTCTGTGGAAAGCTGATATTTGCAAGAATTTCAAGAGAAGTTGCTCTCACATGATTCTTAGTAAGTCGTCTGATACTCTCCTTTATACTCTACGAGATGATGAAAAGTCAAACCACGATGGCCGGATGAGTGCGCCTCAAAAGACATCTCTTCCAGGTGCTTTTACGAGAGGACTTCAGCGATGTATAGGGTTCTTCTGATCACAATTTTCTTTCTTTATTGTTTCTCACATCACTTGAGGTATGCCGACTGATGTCTTTCTCCAGCCAGTTCCTTTTATCAGCTCCCTGCCAATGCCCTGTGTAAGTTCTCCTTTTCTCTTTTCTCTCTTTTCTCTTTTCCAGGAATGATTAGACTTCCAAAACACGACTGCCCGCCGTGAGTGCGCAGATGTAATACCATTTCGAAGGTTTTCTGTGATATCTAGGTTCTTCTGACCGCAATCTCCTCTTACCGATGCACTCTGCCTTCTACTTGCTACTATACATACTAACTATTTTCTTTCTATAGTAATGAGACGATCCCGACACTCCTCTACGCTCGATCACAGACGGTACGCCCACTCCCTCGCACCCTCTTCTCTTGTGTGGAATGATGATATACATATACAAACACGATTTCGAATGAGTGCGCTGTGAGACCACTTCAACTTGAATGGTCTCCTGCAATTCAGGGTTCTCTGACCACAGGATTTTCCAACATGACTTGCAACTTCTGCATGATTATAGAGGCTGATTTGGCGTGTGACCTAGGTAGGGAGCAAATAACTAGAATGTGCTTTGCGGGCTCGAACAGATTTGTGAGTGTTACTCCGAGCTTTTTCGCCTTCAATGGAATGATGATACCGAGAACATGACTGCATGATTGTGCTATGAGAGGCGCCATTTCAATGGACACTTCGTAACAGTCTCAGGGCTCTTCTGATCGTTTTCAAGCATCTCCTATACTAGTGCATGGCTTCACTTTCGACCAGATTTGCTAACCAACTCGATTTGTCAGGACATGAAATTCAGATAGCTTAGTAGATCTAGAATAAGATAGAAAATAAGACTTCCTTCCCAAAAGAATTTCCTTAAACTGAGCAAGTTTTTCCAATCGCGCCATCTGCTATGACTCCAATCACGTGGCATGCCTCTGCTGTAGAAGTGAACTCAGGGGGCCATATCACTACCTCTGCGGCACCTAGCAGAAGAAGCGAAACTTGACTTCTTCCACCTCAAACCCGTCACACACCAGAACTACCACTTCCGACTGACTGCTGAAAGATTCACCACAAACATGGGCATTATGCAGGTTCTCCACGTTCTTCACGTCGTGTTGGTGTTCCTCTGGCCCATCGCCAAGGAGATCATCAAGATCGGAGCCGCATTGCTCTTGAATGCGCACATCCGCGCGATCATCCGCGACGAGATCGGACCGCTCGCAGAGGTAAATACCATCGCAAGAAGCTTTTCTTTGTGTGTTTGTGATGGACTTCTCACAACCTGCTCAGCGGTTCTTCCGTTGGCGCAACGAACAGAAGGAGCTCGCAGAGCAACGTCGACGCCAGGCTCAGGCTCAAGCCCAGGCTCGGGCCCAGGCCCAGACAAGGGCTGAAGCTGAGAACGCCCGCAACGCCCAACGCGAGATGCCCCGTGAGGAACCTCGTGAGGATGTTCATCTCCCCAAGAGAGCCAAGACCAGAGACACCACCTATAGGCGCTACAAGCGTCGGGGTGAGTATTATGGGAGTTGAGGAATTGGAAGAAGAGGACGAGTGTTAACGAGGCTTAAGGTCGCCATGCCAACCCACGCCAGCGCAAGGCCAGACATGCTGAGGAGCGTCGCCGAGCCGCCGCCGCCGCTGCCAAGCGTGTTGAGGAGTAGATGGCATCCTCGAAGCAACTCGGACTACCGGCTATCGTTTCACGGACATTGACGTTCATGCAAGTAAGCTTTGAGAAGGCTGCCTCTCTTCTCTTTTGGGAGAGATGCTAACGACCTGAACAGGCATTCTATGACAAGGCTCCCTACCACGGCCGCTTGCGTGTCCTTCCGAGACGATAGACTTTACGACAGAGTTGAGCAAAGCACGAGAACATCATTAATGTTCTGCAAGCGACTCCACGGCTCTAACAGTTCAAGACGACAAAACTATGAAAGAAAGAAAAAACAAAGAAAACAACAAAGAGAAGAAAAAAAAGTCATGGTCCGAATATATTGCAACTCGAGGACGCAGTCGACCAACGATCCAATATCAAGGGACTACATATGTGGACTCCTTCAAGGACCATGGATGTGGAAATGGAATCGAATTTGCTGGAATTTACAGGAATTTACGGATCATGGGAGATGAAAGTTCGAATTTGACACATATGGAAACGCTACAAGCATCTGCAGTTCCCAGTTACGATGGAAATGTCCAGGCATTCCTAGAGTTACTAGGTCTGTGGAAAGGCTACAAGCATCTATAGTCACAATATCATAAAACAATTTTGGTAAAGGGAGTGCCTCGTCGTGGGGGATCGTGATAGGTGGTACATATCGTAGAGTAAAGTGACGATGAAGTGTTTGAGGTTGCGAGAAAACATATCGAAAGGACGTCTTTGGAGAGGGCAAAGTCGCTAGAGAAACATTCCACACAGACAGGTGCCTTCTGGAGAGCATGGCCAAGAGGGTGGGAATCTCTGGAGAGAGTGGAATATCTAGAGAGAGCGGAATCCCTAGAGAGAGTGTGATCTCTGGAGAGAGAGAGAATATCTGCAGAGAGAGATAGTATCTAGAGAGAGTGTGATCTCTGGAGAGAGAGACAATATCTGCAGAGAGAGATAGTATCTAGAGAGAGAGATAGTATCTAGAGAGAGAGAGAATATCTGCAGAGAGAGATAGTATATAGAGAGAGAGTATCTAGAGAGGGAGAGAATATCTGCAGAGAGAGATAGTATCTGCAGAGAGAGATAGTATCTAGAGAGAGGGAGAGTATCTAGAGAGAGAGAGAGAGAGAGAGAGAGTATCTTTAGAGAGAGAGATAGTATTTAGAGAGAAAGAGATAGTATCTCTAGAGAGAGAGAGTATGTAGAGAGAAAAGGGGTTGGATATGTAAGAAGAGAGGATCTTATTTAGGGAAGAAGTCTATAGAAGAAGACAAGTCTCTAGAGGAGGAAACATCTCTATATAGATAGAGAGAAAGTTCTAGAGAGGAAGAGTCTCTAAAGAGAGAGAATCTCTAGGAGAGTGATACTATGCATGGCTTTGTGGAAATCTTTAGTACACCCGCAATATTAAGCAAGAGAAGAAACCGGCAATTTCGGACTTGACATTTGGAGCCGGTCTCGGCGGCTGAGGGAAGGCGTTCCCTTAAAATTCCCTTCTGCACAAAAAGTCAGTGCCATTATTATGGGTAGAAAGGGGCTCAGGCTCAGCTTGGGATAGGTGCTCGAGACATACTTTTATAGCATTTCTCGATCTCAGACTGACAGGTCGTGAAAGGATCACATCTGAACCTTTGAGGCCAGAAGTAGACTGCTGGAAGTGGGCGATATAGACCGAGATCACAAACGGGAGACGAAAGAATCTTCAATGTCGAAAGGTAACTTGTCAAGCTTTGCTCGAGTAGTCCCTGATGACAACCGAAGTATTGGAACTAATCGAGGTGGCAGAAGAGGATAAAACGAGTCACATATCCAGTCATAAACAAGAGAAGCGGCTACGTGATGAACAGAGGAACTGATTGAAGGACTGCGTTCAAATCCAGCAGTCAAATGATTTCCATTTCCCTATACGAACTGCAATAACCGGCAGTCAAAGATCCTTATCCCATATCCCATGTGAGGTACCTAGTTCAAAGCCTGCCAATGGCAAGCAGTTGAAGTAACTCTCACTTTGAAACGCAACCATTTTCCGGTCATGCAAAGGCTAACTGCGAGGTTGTGCCTTCTAGCTATGCCAGATCAACTAGATATAATCCAGGGCCAAACGAGCCATCTGGAAGAAAATAAAGAGGATGCAGACCGTCACTATAAGCGGGATCCAATCCATGTCAAGATTGAAGCACACAACAAAGACGCTCATGAGGCTCCAGAAGATGGCGGCTGCAATCCAGTGCTCGAGCTGCTCGCGGGGAGTGGTGGGATCCTCGTAGCGAGTCGAGTTCCAGTTCGGAACACGGACTCTCTCTGGGGAAGTTTTTGGATTAGCTGAGAGACTTGATGATGGAGGTGACAAGGGGGAAATTGAGGGAGGCATACCTCTGGTGTTGGTGTTCATGGTATAACGCAGGGTGGGCCGGGGTTCCATTTTGCCTTTAGACGTAGCGCGAAAAGGCTTCGTAGACGATGCGGATATGGCTGTTGGGCTCGGCAAAATGGATAGTCTTGCTGTAGGAATAATGTCAGTAAGGATGAGCAGACTGAAAAGAGGTACTGAAGAAGAAGACGGAGATGGTGAGGATGATGGTGGCGAGGATGAGGATGATGGGGATGGATGGAAGAGATCCTCGAAGGAGCTGGTCAAGATCACAGAGAGGGCAGAGAGAGCTTCGTCAGAGATGTTCAAAGAAAAGAGCCCAGAGGCATAGGAGACCATCAGCAGAGATGGAGATGATCTTCAACGATGATCAGGAGACGACTTCTCCCGCTCTTCTCGCGATAGCATGGACAAAGAGGGCAAGGTGTGTATCACCAAGAGAACCATCAGGATCCTCCAGAGCAGGAGAAGACAAGAGAAAGAAGAAAAGAAGAGGTAAAAGCAGACTGTACCTAGGCTTGCTGCTATCACGGCGACGAGAACGGAATCGCTGCTTGATGGATTCGAAGAACTTGCAGATTTTGGGAAGTCCGGATTTGATGCAGAGAATGATGAAGAGGACGACAACTCGCATGGCGGAAAGGGGTAGCGTGGAAACTTCTCCGAGGAAAAAAAGAGAGAAGAAAGAGGAAAACAGAAAGGAAACAAATGGAAGGGCTAGGCAGAATAGATTATGCGTGATGGGCTGGGCTTGGGCGGTGCTGGGAGTGCGGCCAGCTGGCAGCGGGCGGGTTTGGCTGGCGACCGCCTCACACTCCTTTTCTTGAGCTGCTCTGACGGCTGTTGCGGTGCATCCCTAACCCTTCGAACTTCGAACACAGGGTTGTTCCAGAGGCACCTTTTCTTCATGCAGTCATGCAAGAGGTTGAAAGAGAGAGGTGTAAAGGAAATGTAATGTAGATTCGTGCTATGCTGTATGTCTTCAATAGTGACAGTAACCGTCAGGATACTCATGTTCAGCATGCTATTGCTGCCCAAAGCTACAAATGCCCACAACGCCAAATCCAACAGTAGAATAAGATACATTCAAAGGCTTCAAGCCTTGCTTTTCTCCATTTTCGTTCTCTTCGTCCCGATATATATACTTGCTGTTCCTCCTCTTCTCCTTTCTTTCGCTCGCTGAAAGCTTCTGTAATTTGCTTACCAGCCGCGGCCGGCGAGCTTCTCCTCGGGCTTCATGGAGTCACAGTTAATGCCAACCATGGCCTCTCCAAGACCGGTGCTGCACTCAGCAAGGACCTTGGCGTCGCGGTAGTGCGTGACAGCACGGACGATGGCCTTGGCGCGCTTGGAAGGATCGCCAGACTTGAAGATGCCGCTGCCGACGAAGACGCCGTCGCAGCCCAGCTGCATCATGAGAGCGGCGTCGGCAGGGGTAGCAACACCGCCGGCGGCAAAGTTGACGACGGGGAGACGGCCCAGCTCGGCAGTCTGGCGCAGCAGCTCGACGTCAACCTCAAGCTTGCGGGCGAGCTCGCGGAGACGGACAATGCCGCCCTCGGCGAAGGCGGCCTTGGCCTGGGCAATCTCCCTGTTGACAGTCTTCATGTGGCGGACGGCCTCGACGACGTCGCCGGTGCCGGCCTCGCCCTTGGTCCGAATCATGGCGGCGCCCTCGGCGATGCGGCGCAGGGCCTCGCCCAGGTTGCGGCAGCCGCAGACAAAGGGCACGCTGAAGGGGCTCTTCTCGACGTGGCTCTCGTCGTCGGCGGGCGTCAGGACCTCGGACTCATCAATGTAGTCGACGCCGAGGGCCTCGAGGATCTGGCACTCGACAAAGTGGCCGATGCGGGCCTTTGCCATGACGGGGATGGTGACGGCGTCCTGGATCTCCTTGATCATGGCCGGGTCGGACATGCGGGCGACGCCGCCGTCCTTGCGGATATCGGCGGGGACGCGCTCGAGGGCCATGACGGCGCAGGCGCCGGCCTCCTCCGCGATGCGGGCCTGCTCGGCGTTGGTGACGTCCATGATGACGCCGCCCTTGAGCATCTTGGCAAGGCCGGCCTTGAGGGCAAAGGAGGAGGCGGGAGAGGACGAGGAGGCGGCAGCGGAGCCGTTGGTAGCGACGTCGTTGGTCATGGTGAAGGTGATGGTGATGGAAGTGGTAGGACGAGGAGGTTCTGTAGGAGATGAGGTATGAGAGTCAGCACAACGAAACAAACTGTGGCTCAGGGGGGAGATATTAGGGATGCTTAGGGACTGTACCTAGAGATAAGGTGTGTCTTGAGGGTATCAAAGAACTCGAATTGTCTGGTTTGCAAGTCTGAACAAGAAGTTGATCGCAGTCAGATGCTGGCGATGCCTTCAATATATGTGGAGGGAGCTCGTCCGGAAGTGGTGGCAGTGGGGAAGAGAACGACGGCCGGTCGCGGGGCAAAAAAAAAAAGATACGGGATTGAGTCAATTGATTATTCGGTCTAAGAGGGAATATTACGGAGCAGCCAAGAGGCAACTATTGCGATAATCACAAGAGTACCTCGAGTGCTACGTCTGGCGAGGATGTACATCTGACGGCCGTGGCTGTTGGTCGGGTCTCTGGCCTCTGTTAGTCTCACACGGAGTACATCGACACATGCTTGGCGCCTCTCGTCGTGCCCGTTTGATTTGCGTGCCTTTTCCTTCTAGCACATGCTTGGGCTTGCTCTAGAACTCTTAGTGACTGCGAGTTGAATGAGATGCATGGCGGGCTGCGGGCGCGTTGCTTTGCGGAGGAGGCGAAAACGGACGTGAAGCCGTCTCTTGTCTTCCGTTGCTGTTGCTGCAGGTCCAGGTCACGGTGTGTTAATCAAGGTACATGTACCTATGGTAGGAGCAACAGTAATATCACTTGTTACTTCTTCTACCGCCTCTGAGAGAATGAAGTAATATGGCATGGTATACTGATACAAACCAGGAATCCCCGGTGAGTGAAGCTGCAGCAGAGCGGGGAGAAGGAACGACATGCAGCTCGTGAGTTAAAAGCACGCTGATGCAGACGAGAACCGAGCAGAGGGAACATGAGGCGACAGGGGTGGTGTACAAGGCTGTGGCCGGGCCAGTGGCGGCAAGCATCGGGATTCAAGATGCCGGCATGGCGAGGCACAATCGAAACAGGGTCCTTTTGAGTGCACTACTATTGCTGCATCGCTGTGAAGCAAGCAGCAACGCACATTCTATGATGTAGGTTAGTGGTATGGAATGTCATCAGTAGGCAGAGTGTAAGATGGGGAAACGTCTTTTCCATTCAGATAGCATCATACAGCTTGCGGGACATCTATCAACCCAGGAATCCCTCCCTTCTACGTCAAGTGACCAGCAAAGATGCATCTCGAAGCCCGTCAGAGCCCTCTAGTGGCACGCCAAAAGGACCCCCGAGATCTCAGTTGCTAGGCACAAATCCAAGATGGCCGGGAACACCGCAGCCTTGGCCGGCCCGGGCGTGGCTCATTCATTGCTGGCTGCTTGCTTTCTTCATGGGCTTTCCTATTCACACTGGCTACTTGGGGTCGACCAATGACTCAATCAGTACTACGGCTCCCCCCTCACTATTGCCTACTCTTGCCTAGCACCGGCAGTCGTGAGCCTTGTTTGTGGGAATCGAGACATTTGGAGGCTTGCCTCGTGCAGCTGGCCTTGGCCTCTTTGGGCGACTCCGTGGGCGCCTCATGCAGGTCGATGCGGCCCCCGGTCCCCAGTCTGACGGGTAGCGTCTCCTCTGCATCTGCATTGCATTCTGCATCTGCAAATCTGCATGATGCGGCTTGCGTCGTTTTGCGGAGCACCGAAACTGTCGATACCAGGCCGTAAAGTAGACGCTCTCTACAGTCGTGTAGATAAGGTACGCTCAGGCAAATGAGTTGGTATTCGCAGAATAGGCAATCCCGCCAACCAGAACCCGAATCATTCCGATGGCGGAGCATATTGCAAAGAGTCACGCATGGAAATCTTCTTGCCTTCTAGAGGGACGCGGAGGAGCTGCTAGTTGATAAGGTATCATGGGTAGGAAGCATAATGTCATCGCGGCTTAGTGGTTCTGTCATGGAGTGCAGTTGAGGCATGGGCCCCCCCTGTAGCCGTTGCCAATCTTACTGTCGACGATATGCACCTCTGCATGGAGCTACAGACAGACTCAAAGCCCGTTGCATGCCGTCGATAGCCAAGTGACGCTTCCAACTTCTAGTCTACCTTATCCATCAGAGCAAGAGTGAACAGCCTCTGCCCACAAGGACCGTCTCCCCTTTCCACAGTAGGTACCTACCTATCCACGTCTACATACAACAGGGGGCCAAGTCCCTGGAAAGACGCCACAGATCCCCCATACCGGGCTCAAGCCACACTGCACTCACTGTCCCTCTTCACTATCTCATCACCCCGCCACCCCTCCAACAGGGCAAATTAAATAAGCATTCCGACTACCGGCGCCTCCTGCTCTTATCAACTTTCACCCAAGTCAAGTCACCTCTACCAAGACTTGACAACTTCCTTTCGTTCCACCACGAAAACACCACAGAAGCAGATCCTCAAAGCATTCATTCCGCATGTTCAGCGGCCCTCTTTACCATTACGCTCCGCCACTTCCTCCTTCTCTCCAGCCCAAGATGATGTCCCTCACTGTTGGCGTCTTGGCCCTTCAGGGCGGCTTCTTCGAGCACATCGACCTGCTTCATCGTGCCGCCTCCGTCGTCTTTCCCTCGATGCGCCCCGAGGCTGTCTTCACGGCCATCGAGGTTCGCACTCCCGCGGATCTCGACAAGAGCGACGCCTTGATCATCCCCGGTGGCGAAAGCACCACTATTGCCTTTGTCGCTCAACAGTCGGGCCTCTTGGAGCCTCTTCGTGACTTTGTCAAGTAAGTCCGCCCTTTTCTTTACGTCTTAACATCATCATCTCCATACTGACCAGTACCAAAAGAGTCAAGAGAAAGCCAGTCTGGGGTACCTGCGCCGGCCTTATCCTGCTCGCAGAGCAAGCCAACGGCGCCAAAATCGGCGGCCAGGAGCTCATCGGCGGCCTCGACGTCGCCGTCGCCCGCAACCACTTTGGCCGCCAGCTCCAGAGCTTCCAGGCTACCATTCACCTTCCCTTCCTCGGCGAGAACCAGCCTGTCAACCAAGCTGAGCCGGTGGACGAGTTCTTTCCCGCCATTTTCATTCGCGCTCCGATAGTCGAGGAGATCCTGAATGACAATGTCGAGGTCCTTGCCACGGTCCCCCGCGAGGAAAAGGCCAAGCGCGGCTCTACCCTCGATGAGAAGGAGAAAGACGATGTCATTGCGGTTCGACAGGGCTCGATTGTCGGCATGAGTTTCCATCCCGAGCTCACTGAGGATCCTCGCATCCATGTTTGGTGGCTCAGACATATTCTGAGCACCATGTGATTGATCTACTGCTTTCTAGTGGTCTATTACAAGCATCATGGCGTGGCATTTGTTCTTGTTTTTACATTCTGATTTTCGTTTTAAAGCTTCACACAAGCTCAAGGGTTACAAAGGGGTTCAAGGGTTTCAAAGATATCTCAAGTCTTCACATAGACGCATAGTTACGGTAGCATCCGGCGTCCAGACGTTCAAATAAAGGCGTTCAACTCACTACCCATGCAAATCAACTCCAAGTGACTTGCTTCAGCAAAACACATGCAGAGTAAATCAGTCCCTCTCTTCTATACATGCTACTATCAATTCTTCATTGCAGTGTCGTAATTTGGAGGATCCCCCGAGATTGGGACGGGCATTCCCAGAGCCTCGTAGATCTCACTCTTGCCAAGTGCCCTTACGACATCCTGCACCTCTGGCGCATGGACATCAGCTCCAGCCTCCTTCAGCAGGCGTACCATGTCGTAGTCAAGCCTCATGAGTGCTTGCACAAGCGGCTTGACGCCATGCTCTCCCACACTGTAATTTGGATCCGCCCCGTAGTGTAAAAGTGCCTCAGCGAGATCCTTTCTCCCATGATCAATGGCATACTTGAGCAGGGAGTCACCGTTCTGCATCGTAACCGTCGTCTTCGCCCCGTTTTGTAGCATGAGCGAGATGATTTCCGAGAGACCTGCCTCTACGGCGTAGCAGATGGCAGGCATCTTGCTGAAGCCGTCTACCACGTCCGCCTTGGCCCCCTTGGAGAACAGGTGACGCACAATATCAATCTTCTCCTCGGTCGAAATTCGAGAGCTCTTGATGGCGAGCAAAAGGACGGGTTGCGAGTGCCAGTCTTTGGTATTTGCATCCGCGCCCCAGTCGAGGAGCAACTTGGCCGTCTTGAGCCTTCGGTTGCCAATCTCGTCTGCAAGCAATGGCATCCCCGAGATGGTCTTGCCATTGGGGTTCGCGCCCCTTTTAAGGAGCAGCTCTGCCATCTCGTAGTCCTTCTTGTTGAGGGCCACGGCGAGGAGGGTCTGGCCTGAGATATCTTTCGACTTGATGCTTGCACCGTGATCGAAGAGCAGCTCCACGAGATCCCTGTTTTTCTTCCGTACGGCATGCGCAATGACAACTTCGCCACTGATGTTCTTTGTGTTTGCGCTACAACCTTTCTCGAGGAGGAAGCGAATCCCATCCAGGTTTCCAGATTGGACAACTTCGACAAAGTATGCTTGTCCAGAAACGCTCTTCTCATCCACACTCGCCCCTTTATCAATGAACATCTTGGCAATCTTGAGGCTGCCCACCGAGGCAGCGAGAAACAGGGGCGGCATGCCTGACCAGCCTGACCCAGAGGTACTCGCCCCCGAAGCCAAAAGCAAGCGGGCTGCGTCTTCCTGATCATTGAGTATGGCACATTGAAGGGCGTTTTTGCCGTTTTCGTTGCGGCCGTTGATGTTGGCGCCTTGGGTGAGGAAGCCTGCAATTTGTTGAATGTCCCCGATGGAGGCGGCTTGGCAGAGGGCGGAGACAAAAGGGCCTGGTTGGGGGGTGAGGGATTGGGCGAGTGCTTTGAAGGAGCTTTTGAAGACGGAGCCCCATGAGAAAGCGCTGGATTGACTGGGTTGAGGAGTTGAGGAAGATGGTAGTGTTGTTGTTTCAGCGGAAGATGGCATTTCGGGCTCGGGTGCGGCGCTGTATGGAGGTGGTTCGGCAGGTTCGGCTTCGGACAGGGCGGTGGTGGATGAATTAGGCTGAGCTTTGCTTCCGGATGCCTGAGATGGCTGGTTGATGTCTAGAAGGATGCTCCTTTGAGCTGTTGAGGCACCAGAAGCATGGGGTATTTGGCTGGTGAGATTGCTCGACTGCAGGTGTGCGAATCTCTGCTCCTGCTGGGATTTGTCCTCACTATTAGAGCAGAGATCAGCCAAAGCGCTCTCATCTGAAGGCCACGGTTCACTTACATCTTCACAATGTCCACCGTGGATTCCAATAGCCTGCTATTTGCCATGACCGCCTGGTAATAGGCCACCACGAACTCGACATTCAGACACTCGATAGTATCCGGCTGCAGTCGCATCAACTGCTTATACAGCACCGTCATCATCCCATCGCAGCTCGTCAAATGCTCCTTGAGTCCATCTTGGACCAGCATCGCCACCGTGGAAGTGACAAGAGCGGCATCCAGCTGAGAAGCCCGCTGGTTGAGCTCCTCCAACGCGCTGGCCAGCGACGTTAACACCGGCAAGACATTGCGATGGCTCGGGCCGAGCGCTTCGACCAACGATCGGAGCTCGATCGCGCTGGAAATTGCCCGCTGAGAGATGCCGGAGCAGAGAGTTGTGAGGGAGCTGATGGAGCGGCCGTCCATGGCTTGCGAGTATGCGGGCTGGGTGTGCCGCTTCGTCGTCGTATGTCTTCCGCGGGGGTTTCTGGGGAGACAAGAGGCCTCTTTCGAATAAGAGTGGTCTGTTATAGCTGCCGGTTCTCCGATTGTTGTTGGCGCGCAATCCTTCAAGCCGGGAATAAGCCTGCGATTACAGGTAGCCTCTTAAGAGCGTCTACTTCCGTCAATCAACGTTCTCTCCGCGTCTATGAGATGCGAATGTTTGGACAAGAGGAAGACGTCTTATTGATTTCCATCGGCTTGTCGCTCTTTTTATTACTTCTTTCACGCGCGGCTGAAGGTGGGCGGCCTCGTAGGCGCTGACGCAGCCTCTCGATTGTTGCGTAACGGAGCCGGGGTCGTTTCTTAGCATCTAGCCAGCATTAGCCTGAGAGGTTTCCAACAGCGCATGGGCATTCGCTTGCACTTACTGCCATCTTTGCGTTCGCTTGACGGCAATTTTCAAAACGGACATTGGGCATTCATCGGATTTGGGTCGCCCAGGGTTAGGGTTGAAGAGAGAAGTTCCAAGTAGTAGACTCAAGGCAAACGGCCAAGTACCACCTGGTCGAGCCGGCAATCCGTGTAGCTTGTGTGATGCGCTCATGTGTCCCGCGAGGCTGCAGATGGGTGTGACTACGCTTATCAACCAGCCAAGCAATTATGGAGTAGAGATGCCCCGACACCTCTAGCCCTGCAGGTGTCCGGGGTGGAATGGAATGGCCCGCTCCGTCGTTTGACTGGAGCTTTCGCTGCGAGTGAAGGAAGGCCATCTCGCGGTTAATCGCGACCCCTGTCATGGTTGCTCAGCCCTCCACAGCCACAATTCTTCTCGCCCTGTGCTTTTGGTGCGAATGGGATGGACGGACTACCACATGGAGCGGGTAGACATGGACATATTGTTACTTGCCTCACTTGGACTCTGTTTCTTGAGCCAAATGAAGTCCAATCAAGGAAATGATGATGCCATTTTCCGTGGGCACAAACGCGATATTGATCCAGTCTGCCGCACTTTATAAATCGTCGCTCCTGGGTTCATTTCATATACTACCACAGCGGACAAAACTGACCTCATGTTGAAGTTATATTGTGTAGCTCTATAGACGATGTAGATGGGTATATACTCCACTCAGAGGCCGTATACACACACAGATCTCCATTCTCCACGCCATTATTATACCAAGCATATATCCAAAGACATGTCTCTACTCATCCCCCTTGTTTACCTTGGACCACATATCATCAAGAGTCTTCTTCTCCGCCATTAAGTCGCAGTTGCTCACTCCCCATTTGTTCTTATACAGCTTCCGCCCATCCTCCGCCATCTCCCACCAAGCAACCTGAAAGCCCGCGGGATCATACGTCCACGGCTCTCCCTTTCCTCCCTTCTGCATATTCTGCCATGTATTGCGGCCCTTGGAGTTGCTCAGCTTCTCATCCTGAATCTTCTGTAGCTCTTCCCTAAGAGCCTTGAACCGTTCAGAGTTCGGCGCGTTATCGTCCGTAGCATTCGTCGAGTCGCCATTCTTCGTTGGTGAAGGGGGGAAGAACTTTTCCTCAGGATTGTCTACAATGTCAGCTACATCCCAAATATGTCCCGCATTGACACCATCAATCTTGTAACCCATCATCTTGAGTCGTCCATAAGCATCGCAGTCTGTGGCATAATAGGGAATGAACACGTCCCACTGGCCAATGTGCCTCCATGCCTCGACGTTGACTAGAGTGAGGTAGTCAAAGTTGAAAAACTTGACGGCCCATTTGCTTTCGCCCGACATGCGAGAGGACTCGGCATCGTCGAGAATCTTCAGAACACGTTCGTAGAAGGAAAGGTAGGGCGTCTCCTCTTCGTGGCTGAGGATTCCGACATCCATGTGGCTCCAGAAAAAGTAGGGCCAGTGACGAGCCATGGCTACCCTGATCAAGAAGTTCTGTATCTGGGCAAAGTTGAGAAGCACCGATGTCTGTAGTATCGAAACGCCGTATCGGTATCGGAACAAGTCGTAGTCGAGGAAAAAGGGGTTCGACTGCGAAAGCAGCTTCAGGTTGTTGGCATCGGCTGTACCGCTGTTGTCAACGATGATGATGTCTTCTCTTGGCCATCCACTGGCGATATATCCGAGGACTGTTTGTCGCATCATCGCATTGTTCCTCGTAAAGGGAATAAAGAGCGGTGTTTTCGGTCGGTGGCGCGGAGGCTCGTTGTACGATGCGACAAGGGGGAAGAAGTTGTTCCCCTGAGCAGGAAAGTACGTTCCAAAATCGAAGAATGATTCTCCCAGCACAGGTGTAGTCTCCCGTTCCTTGTTTGACGAGAACATGGGGATGATGGAGTCGGAGTATGAGAAGGATTGTCGGGAAAGGCTGGTGACGCGAGACGGGTCGATGAGCTTCACCAGGACGATGGCGGCCGCGGCCACTCCGAGAAGGAGAATGGCCAACTTGAGCCGAGGATGCAGCCGCGATTTGCGAGCAGAAATTCTTGTCTCGTCATCGCCATCTTCTTCGTCTGTGGGAAAATGATGGAGGCGAAAGGATCCAGCCTGAGCAGCAATCCAGCCCGACCTGCGGGAAAAGGACGAGATTTTCGAGAAGATGGCGCCAACAAACGAAAGTAAACCCATCTGAGCAACTT